AAACACATGTTCTCTTCCACCCCTGAAAGCCATGTTCTTCTTCCTGCTCCTCCACCACCCACCGGACACGGCTCGCTCCGCTGGGTGCTACAATAACTCTAGCAACTCGTTTTATTCGACTCTTTGTAATCGCAAATATCGTACTCTGCTGCTGTCAGTAAATTTATGAGTCAATGTCGGTACATAAGGTGTAAGGAAACGTGATAAAAATGTCTAGCACTTGCCTTGTATCGAACTCGGGTCTAATCATGTGCATCACTAACCACTGCGACACAGTGAAGAAATTAGTAATGTATAAATATAATTTAGAACAATTTCTACAGAGATATAATAACGTATGGATTAATAAAATGAAATAATGAACGCATTGAATAATGATCAGCAATTATATATTTCGTTAATATATATTTTCCCCAAATTTGTATTACAAAGAGGACATTCTCATTATTCAATACAATAAACAATTAAATTTGCATCAAAATAATTGCATCATTTGCATTGTCTCATTGAAAATTCAGTTTGTTTTGAAAGGGCAAATTTACTAGTTGTAACTATGTTATTTACTCGTGAAAAGTCCAGTCAAATAAACCATGTTGATAATTATCACGTCAGATAGTGTACATTTATGCCGCCTACGTCATTTATGTAACCTGTCTTTATCTGTGTCTCACGTGTATCTTTATATGTGACACGAGTATCTTTGTTAGTGTTGTTTATGTATGTGTGTGTGTGTGTGTGTGTGTGTGTGTGTGTGTGTCTTCTCATCTATGTAGGATTGTGTCAATGGTAAATGAACTGAAATAATGTATACTGTTTTTGTTTAATATTACAATTTTGTTTTTATTCTTCCAGTTATCTTCCCCTTGTGTTATATTGTCCCCTACGAGCTCTGTGTAACCTTAAACCCCCCCCCCCTCCCCCCGTCATTCTCATTTCATTGCACTTGGTAGATTGAAGTTATGCAACCATTTTCAACAATATAATTTTTAGCTTATCCATGTTCTCCTGAAGCATTCTAAAATACTTCTCTGTTTTGATTTGTTAAATTAGTTTTGCACTACTCATCAATACTGGCGTGTTGTTTCCTACTTTGCCATTGGGAAAACAGGAACGGCATGGATCATAGTATTGACTCCTGTGTAACTCCGGTTTTACTAACCTTCATTTGGATATCACCCTTACCTCTCTGAGACTCCGGTACCAGGTGGTGTCTGTCTCTCTCTGCCTCTCTCTCTTCCTAGCCTCCTTCCCATTCACCCCCTATCTTTTCCCTTCCTTCTCCTCTTCCTCCTTGCCGACCTCCATTCCCTCCTGTACTCTAGTCCTCCTTCCGTTCTCCCTCTCCTCCCTCCTGTCTCCCTCTCGTTTTCTCTCCCTCATTTTCTTCCTCTCTCTACCCCGTCTGACACTCCATATAATCAGAAATCACCATGGAAAGTTGTGAGAGGCTAACCGCAAGCGTCAGGCCCTCCAACCATCGAACAATCTACCAGACAAAACAGTCCGTATCTTTTTTTACCAATACAAGTAACAATTACGCAAGAAATTCAAATTTATTTTGTACGCTACAAGAACCTACTGACTTGGTTCCCACAGTAGAGAACAGTTATTACACGAATATAAAATATTTTCATCTTGGTTTAATATCAGCTTTTTTATTTAAATTGTCGATATGAGAAAAAATTATGGAAAGTATTTGTGTCGAAAATATATATATATATATGTTGACAGTGTGTAATTATATATTAATCTTGAATGAAAGAAGTGGATTACCCCTGGAGCTCTATTTATGAATACTTTTTGAATATTTAGCTTTTAATTAGTCTGAGTTTCTTTTAATCGACATACAAATTTAACTTTGAATCGTGCGTGTGATTGTAATTTTAGTGTTGCATGCCAATAGGGAGACACTATCCGGCCGCTGAGTGCTCATTGTGTAGAGTGAAAGCTTCAAAGCGGCCACTTTTACCACGATATTTTTTTGCAAAAAAAAAAAAAAATCTTTCAGCAGGAACCATTGATTATTCAACAGAATGTTAACTGTTAATGATATTAACTAATAATTTCACGGGTTCTACAATATGTTCTCTTTAGCATAATGTAGAAACTGTAGTTTGCGGCTTGGTAGATACTCAGATCTATAGCGATAAAATAGGGGGACATTGTCTTATCTTGAGGTTATCTTGAGATGATTTCGGGGCTTTAGTGTCCCCGCGGCCCGGTCCTCGATCAGGTCTCCACCCCCAGTAAGCAGCCCGTGACAGCTGACTAATTCCCAGGTACCTATTTTACTGCTAGGTAACAGGGGCATAGGGTGAAAGAAACTCTGCTCATTGTTTCTCGCCGGCGCCCGGGATCGAACCCGGGAGCACAGGATCATGTGTCAAGCGTGCTGTCCACTCGGCCGACCGGCTCCTTTGTCTTTGGTCAAATAAAGTCAATGTTTTAGTTTCCATCCTGTTTATTTTAAGCCACTTTACATTAAATGATACATTGATGATTCAAGTTTTAATTTAATACATCTAAACACGTTCTTCTGTTTATAAATTACTTGAGCAGTACAATATTGAATTTGCGTGTGAAAGGGAAAATGCTATACGCGCAAATTTATTGTCGATTATGATTGAAAGAGTATCAAAATAATTTGAGACATTCATATAGAGGAAACATTTGTTCACAGATATGGTAAGTACGTTTTCTTTCGAGTATTCCACCAAAATATAGACGTCACGTAATTTCAACAAAGTTTCAGCGTTTTGTGCTCACAATTTTTGTTGTGAGCAACACAACACGATTTGTGTTACTCACGTGGCCCCACAAAGTTAGGTGCTTCGTTGAAATAACGGTGCTCAAGCAACCACCATGTGTTGTCGGGTCGTTGGGGATATAGCCTCGGCTACCAATGACTGGAACCTCGAATAACGAATTTAATCCGTTCCGGCGTCGTGGTCGTCATGTGAAACGGACGTCATTCAAAACGAAATTCCTCATTGAAAATAATGTCAATAGAAATAATCCATTCCAGCCCCAAAAACAACAGTATGACATTATACACTGGTAATATGATACTGTACATGTAAAATAAATGTTTTGTTTGACTGTTTCCATTTTACATTCACTTTATCTTACGAAAAGTCATTGCTGGCTTGAGGGAGACGATTGGGAGGTGGGAAGGAGAAGAAGAGTTACGACGTGGAGGGAGACGCCACGTGTGGGTCAGGCGGACTCTCTCTTTTGGGGAATTTAACCCCACTGGGACCGGGTTGTGGTTCACTATCACTTGCACCTCTTTTCTCACCCTTTCCACAGACCGTATCGAGTGCCACTTGGTGTTGTCTACGTTTTAGGATGTCCCTAAACCGAGACAGCACATTGTCATTAAACATGTTCACGCAACGTGTTGTCACTGCCTTATCAGGGTGATGTTTTTCCGCGAATGCGGTCACCTTTTCGAACATTCCCAACACGTCCCTGATCTCACTGGACGGGACAGCATCCTCCCATACCTCCTCCTCCCCCGATGAGAGCTCCTTTACCTCCTGTTGCACCAGCTCTTTCTGCAGTTCCAGGAGTTCCTCAGTGGTCAGTTCATCACTGTGCTCCTCCACTAATTCCTGCACATCAGCGGCATCCACCTCTAGACCCAATGTTTGCCCCAGAGCAACAATATCATCCACTAAAAGCGCGTCCGGGTCATCCACAGGTGCGGCTGCAGGTGCAGGACCGAAACCTTCGAAGTCTCGCTCAGGGACACCCTCCGGCCACAGGTTTCGCCATGCAGAGTGTAGGGTCCTCAGTGACACTCCTTCCCAGGCCTTATCAATCAAACGCAAGGCCCCCATGATATTGAAGTGGTCCTTCCAGAATTGTTTGAGGGTCAGCTCTGTGGTGTCTATCACATGAACACACCTCTCCAACAAAGCCTTCATGTACAGCTTCTTAAAGTTAGCAATGACTTGCTGGTCCATGGGTTGGAGGAGTGGAGTGGTGTTTGGAGGAAGAAACTTGATGGTGATGAACTGATTCTCCGGGAACAGATCATCTTGCATTTGTGGAGGATGCGCAGGTGCATTATCGAGCACAAGCAAGGCCTTGAGTGGTAACTGCTTCTCGACGAGATAATTCCTCACTGTGGGGCCGAAAACGTCATTTACCCATTCACTGAAGAAGATCCGCGTGACCCAGGACTTCTTGTTGGACCTCCACATCACATTCAGCCGTGTCTTGTGCACCTTACACGCCTTGAACACTCGTGGATTTTCTGAGTGGTAGACGAGCAGCGGCTTTACCTTGCAATCGTCACTTGCATTGGCACAGAGCACGAGGGTGAGCCGATCCTTCATCGGTTTGTGGCCAGGCAACGATTGTTCCTCTTGCGTGATGTAGGTCCTCTTCGTCAATTTTTTCCAAAACAGCCCAGTCTCATCACAATTGAAAACCTGTTGGGGCAGGAACTGCTCCCGATCAACAAATTCCTGGAACTGTGGCACAAAAGTCTCGGCAGCAGCTTTATCAGAGCTGGCAGCCTTCCCATGTCGCACAACATTGTGTATACCGCTCCTCTTCCTAAAGTTCTCGAACCATCCACGGCTTGCCTTAAATAACTCCTCATCTTCAGACGACGCACCTGGTATCTTCCTGACAAGGTCCACATACAGCACCCTTGCCTTAGCACAAACGATAGCTTCAGAGACACTATCGCCATGTAATTGACGTTCATTCATCCACACCAGCAGTAGCCTTTCAACATCATCTAGGAGTTTTGGACGTTTCTTGGTAACCTTGGTAACTCCTTTGGCCACGTCAAGCGTCTTAAATTGTTCCTTCCTCTTCAAAATGGTGCTAATTGTTGAGGAAGACCTGCCATACTCCCTGGCAAGATCAGCCACACGAACACCACGCTCGTGCTTTGCTATGATTTCCTTCTTCACGTCCACAGTGATTGGCTCTTTCTTCCCCTTGCCAACACTTTCTTTAGCAAGCTGCTGCTTTGCCGACATCGTGCGTTACGAAGTGTAGTCACAAACCCACACAAAACCCACGATTATCACAATTATATGCGGAACGATGCAGAGGGATACTGGTCGTGCACGACACCACCACAACACTGTCGGAGGCGGCGGTCGGGAATGTGCTGGAAGCAGCGCGACCCCACCATGTGGTGTTGACGTTATTCAAACGAGTGGTCGCCTAACGAGACGAAATGTCGGCGAACGGGGCGCTCGTTACCCAAATTTCTCGCCATTTGAGCCGGTAGTCACTCGAGGTTCTACTGTATTATATAATAAAAGTTTGTGAGGGTACCACCTCTGGTGCCAATGTGGGGACCCATAGCCTCGGAGAAGAAAATAAAAAGTATTCAGAGGAGACCTTGTGCCTTCTCACTGAACACTAATATTATCTTCTCCTACCACCCCCATTCTTTTGTATGTACACATATATATTTACTTTATTTGAACTTTGTTACTAAAAAAGAGTTACATATATATATATATATATATATATATATATATATATATATATATATATATATATATATATATATATATATATATATATATATATATAATATGTGTGTGGAGGAACTCGACGGAACACGAATCAATGGGTATAAATTGGATATGAAAACATAAGGATGGAAGTAATTGCAGAAGGTCTATTGGCTCATACATCCTCTTCCTGCTTTTATGTTGGTTCAGGGTCTTAAAGTGGGTAGAATATAGTTGTGCATTAATTGGCTGTTGATTGCTGGTGTTGACTTTTTGATGTGTAGTGCCTCGCTGATGTCGAGTCTCCTGTTATCGCTGTATTTATCAATGATTTCATCGACATCTAAGGAAGAAATCGTTGTGCATTGAAAGCAATCTCAAGTCACACGACACTAAAGACACCTTGAAAGCGGAACTTATTGCAAAAGGAGGAAAGACTCGAGGTAACTACAAAAGCCCCATACTGTCCCCCGAGCTCAAAGCGGCAGCTAAGTGCCTTCGTGAGAATAAGGAGATGTCGTCAGGAGAGGTGACAAGTCGCCAGTATACGTTATTCTTAAAAAAAGACGAATATCCGGCGAAAATGAACCTCATACTCTCTGACCAAACTAAATTCCAAAGGGTAACGAAGGACACTACAGCCGAACTGAAAACGAAGGTAAACAGATTGATCGAAAGTGTGAACGCCAAGAAATCCGGACTACACCTGCCAAAGGTTATTGGGGAATACAAACCTGGTTATGCTTATGGGAATGTCACATGCCTGGAAACTCACTTCGGCCAATCATCAGCCAGATACCCACACCCACGTACAGACTTGCTAAGCGACTCAACTGCTTGCTGACTCCTTATGTAACTCGCGCTTTCAGCCTAAAGTCTCCAAAGGAATTTGTTGACTTACTACGGGGAGCGCTGGCCATGGGGATAAGAGCCTCGTTGGATGTAGAGTCATTGTTTACCAACGTACCTGTGGATGAAACAATCGGGATGATAGCGGATAGAGTGTATCATGATCCGTGTTGTTCTCTTGATATACCAGAAAACATACTAAGGAAACTAATCCAACCCTGCACAAAAGAGGCACCCTTTCTCAGTCCAAATGGGCACATGTATACGCAAGTAGATGGGGTCGCCATGGGTTCTCACCTAGGTGTCCTGTCAGAGGGCAGAGGGTCTTAGTTGACATGGACTTGAAACCCGCCATATATTGCACGTATGTTGACTACATCTTCATGCACGTACCTGATATCAGACGTCTGCAGCAGCTAAAGGAGGCATTCGAGCGGAATTCTGTGTTGAGTTTCACGTACGAGATGGAGAATGATGGAAAGCTGCCCTTTCTAGATGTAACAGTCACGGAAAGGAACGGAGGCTTCCACACTGCAGTCTACACTAAGGAAACAAACATAGGAATGTGCCTCAATGCCAATTGTGACTGCCCAGACAGGTACAAGAGAAGTGTTGTCAACATTTACGTCGACCGTGCTCTCAGTCACAGCTCAGGATGGAAGCAAGTCGATGAAGAACTCTGAAGGGTAAGGCAGGTCCTAGTCAACAATGGCTTCTCTAACGGTTTTGTTAAAGTTGTCAAAAACGAAAAGTGAAACGACATGCAACCTCTGAAGAGTCAACTAACACAACACATGTACCCCCTATTAGACTGTTTTACAGGAACATCTGTTCGACGGCTCATAAAATAAAGGAAAGGGTCCTAAAAGACATTATTGATAGGAACGTTATCCCTACAGGCAAAAATCAGAAAATACAATTGATAATTTACTACAAAATATAAAAACAACGGCCAACCAACTCAGGAAAAACTCCCCAGACACCAAACAGAACGCCCTGAAGGAAACCAACGTCGTCTATGCCTTCATATGCCCGCTTGGGGACTGTAAGCCCCAAAGAACTCAGTATATAGGCAAGACAACAACGTCTCTTTCTACGCGATTAACTATGCACAAACAACAGGGCTCCATCAAGGAACATATAATCTCTTCTCACAACCAGACCATCACCAGAGAAATCTTAACAAGCAACACAGAAATCATCGATAAATACAGCAATTGCAGGAGACTCGACATCAGCGAGGCACTGCACATCAAAAGTCAACACCAGTAATCAACAGCCAATTAATGCACAACTATATTCTACCCACTTCAAGACCCCGAACCAACATAGAAGCAGCAAGAGGATGTATGGGTCAATAGGCCTTCTGCAGTTACTTCAATTCTTATGTTTTCATATCCAATTTATAACCATTGATTCGTGTTCTGTCTTATCTTTGTCACCTTATCCAAAACGAGTATAAATATGATGTACTAAACCTTTGAAAATGTAATAAGCATTACGAAACGCGCTCAGGCGTCAGACCAGAAATAAAAGAATGACTTTTGGAGAGTTAATTTATCAATTACCCTCGACAGTGAAGAAGAACGTAAGAAATATTGAGAAGATTTGTGTTAGAATTGTTAATCTTACCCTTTCGGTCTTAATCAACAATATATATATATATATATATATATATATATATATATATATATATATATATATATATATATATATATATATATATATATATATATATATATATTGTCAACACTAATATTATATAATATATAATATATATATATATATATATATATATATATATATATATATATATATATATATATATATATATATATATTTATATATTATATATTATTAGTGTTGACTTGTGCCTCGCCGACCGTCTCTGCAGAGCATGTTTGGCGCGTTTCGTATCACCTACTGCGATTGTTAACCAACAGTAAATAGGTATGCAGGGGTTAGCGAGTTGTGGGGATGCATCCTGGGAATGATCAGTAGTTAGACCTTGGGAAGAAGACCTCGATATTAGCTTAATATTCATATATATATACTGGATGCCTGTCCTTGACACAATTATTTATAACTATTAAATTCACTCTGCTAGTCATCCCAAATAAGCCTCTTTAATAAAATTCCCCACAAAATCAAGGGGCAGTAATTTAAGAATATTACAATTTTACGACCAAACTCAAAATACAACAAAATTGAATAATTTCTCTGGCTTACGCAAAATGGTCCCTCCCTCATAGGCTGAGTCGTACGATTCTGGCTATTGGGTACGATATGCGGAGGACACGTGCGTAGGCTCAGAAACCCCAGAGGAAGGCTCACTGGGTGACCTTTCAAGGCACTGCAGATGTGCGTGACCTGTGCCAGCAGTGAGCCTGATATTTACAAACTCATACAATTTGTATACTGGTGGATTATGATCCGTTATCATACACTGTGTGCTTCATAGATCGGGGAAAAGTGATGTAAATATTATTCCAGTTTGTACTTATATATATATATATATATATATATATATATATATATATATATATATATATATATATATATATATATATATATATATATATATAATATATGTTCTCTTATCTCTTTAACTTACGTACATCTCCCTTCCTCCTCTCCTTGCCATGTTCCTACTCTGTTATATCATATTTATTTTATATTCATGAGTGTGTGTGCACTCGCCTAGTTGTGGTTATATGGGGGTCGAGCTTCGACTCTTTGGTCCCGCTAATCAACTGTCTATGAACTGGTGCACCGGTTCCTGATCCCATTGGGCTCTATTATGTTTTCATTTGAAACTGTGCATTAAGTCTGCCTCCACCACATCACTGCTTATTGCATTCCATTTATTTAATTCCCTGACACTAAAAAAGTTCTTTCTTATGTCTCATTTTCTCATGTAGTAAGTTTCCACCTTTGTGCCCTTGTTCGTTTTCCACTCTTGCTAAATAGTTTGTCCTACCTGTCAATTCCTATGGTAATTTTGTTGGTGGTGATCATGTCTCCCCTAACTGTTCTGTCTTCCAAGGATGTGAGATTTAATTCACGTAGCCTTTTCTCATAACTCATACCTCTCAGCTCTCGGGTCTTGTCTGGTGGCATTCCTCTAAATCTTCTCTAACTTTGTCCTGTGTTTACTAGGCATGGACTCCAGGATTGGTCTTGCATATGAGGTATACAAGGTTCTGAATGATTCAACGTTTCTGAAGGCAGTTCTAATGATTGCCAGTAAAAAGTAGTTCTAATGATAGCATATGCCGCTGATGATATTCTTTTGATTTGAGCTTTTGGGGACAGGTTCAGTGTGATATCAAAGGCCAGAGCTTTCTCTCTACTTGACTCTTAAAGGATTTCACCTCTCAGATATTACCTTGTTTTCGGCCTCTTGCTCCCTTCACCTAATTTCATTACTTTACACTTGCTTGAATTTAAAATTTGTAGCCATTTTCAAGACCATTCCGCCAGATTGTCCAGGCCGTCTTGTTGTCTCTATTATTCTCTGACTTGATTCTTCTCATAATTTTCGCACCATCAGCAAACATTAAGAGGAATGAGACTATGCTTTCTGGAAGATTGTTCACATATATCAAAAACCGGATATTTCGATGTCCAAAGTCCTGTTGTACTCCGCTGGTGATATCTCG